CTTTTGTCTAGAAAAGAAAATTATGTCACTAAAAGAGGTTAGAGGGAGGGAAACCATCAACGGTGTTTCACCCTTTAACTGATTTAGATATGATAATCAATGGCTTTAAATCTCCAGAATATGAAAGATTAAAAAATAATCATAAAAGAAAGTAAAAAAAAAACAATCTAAAACAACAAAAAGCTAGCACATAACAAAAATAATACATAACTTATTAAAAACATTTCAAGAAATTACGAAGCAGCAAGTTTAAGCAATTATGAGTTGCAAGACTCCATATGTCCAATTATCCTATGCTCCCAAGAGGACTTTGGTGAGAGCACCCCTGCAAAACTTAACAACAGTTAGATTTAGGAACCCAAACTAGTTTTGGTCCCTTCTCAGGAAAAGTAGAATATAATACAGGTGTGGTATGCTGTGAATCATGTACCTTAGGTCTCCATACCCAATGTGTACTACGGTGAATGATGCACGTGTTTGAGATGTGTCCTAGTATGCCACAAGAAAAACATCTAACTCTAGGAAAAGTATTTCTTAAATATTTTTAGTTATAATGCCTCTTCTTAGGTCTTGGCTTTTAATCAAGAGTAGGCATCATCCAAGTTTTCTTAAGTGTAGACAATTTATTTTTAATCCTCAAGTTTGTATTTTTTAGAACATCATTCTCAACCCTCAAGCTTTTCTCTTTCTCTTTAGATTTCTTGAAATCAGATTAAAGAGAGGTGTGTGAAACTTTTAATGCTTCATTCTCATGAATTAATTCCGAGTGCTTTTTGTTCAAATCATCAAATTCATCAAGAAGAGCCATGTGATTAGAATCAATCATTGAATGATCTTAAAGAATAACTTCATACTCTTTTTATAAATTTACAAGTTCCAATTTTAAGTTAGCATGAGTCTTCTTAAGTTTTTTGTATAATGCATGGATTTTCTCACAAATCTCAAACAATTCATCATAGGTTGGTTTACATACCTCTTCCTCATCACTTTGCTCAAGATGATCTTCCTCCATTAAGCACTAGGGTTGTTGGTCTCCTTCCTATGGTTTTCAGGTCTCAGAGGAATCAGTAACCTTGAATTCCTGCCTAGAATGGCCTTTTGGTACTCTCTTTTTTGTCCTTCTAAACTTGGGTTTCTCTACCCGTTTTCTTTTTCTTTGCTCGATGTGATCTGAAGTGTAGGAAATCGGCTTTCACATGTCCAGGCTCCTGCATTCATAACAAACAACATCAAAGATCTTTAAGAATATTTGTTATTCTTACCTTTTTCTCCAATGAATGCTTTTGGCTTCTTCCTTAGAAAGCTTTGAATTGCTTGTGATGAAGGCAACTTTCATCGTTCTCGACCACCGGAAGATTCGGAGTCCCAGATTTTGTCACCTTCAGTACAACTGTTTTCTCCTTCTCTTCTACATGCATCAAGATTTCTTTGATTCAACCTTTCCTTGCTTGTAAGCAATGAGTGAGCCAAGTAAGTTATTAATAGAATAAGTGTTTTAAATCCTTAGATTACAGTGATTGCAGTGATATTAGCATCATATGACGAAAGGCAAGCATCTAAAACTCTTTGTTTACTTTTTCATAGTTAGAAGTTCTCTTCCTAATTTGCATGCAAGTGAAGTGGATATCTATGTAAACCTAGTATACATGTCAAAATAGATTTTAGACTGGTTTCATACAAAAAAAGTTCATAGTCATGCTAAGAGCATATTCAAACCGAGATTTGTTTAACTTCATTAGTCCTTCAATAGTAATACACAATTTAATCCAAGTTTTCTTTAAAAATTTGTAAGTAGAACACGCATGTAATCCTCAGATTTTTAAAGCACAAAAAACAATAATTTCAAAGTATTTTTGGCATTTACTATTGGGTTAAATCTCTTTCACTTTTAAGTCCATTCAGTAAAAACAGCAAAAAATTTTCAGTTTTAACACCAATTGAATTTCACAGAGAAGGTGGAGAATAAGCCTTCTTTGATAAGCTGGCACAAATGCGATAAATCAGTTTGATTGTAAAAATGTTGACATGCGGGTTTTCCAAAAATCAAAAGGTAAGGTTATCGAAAGGGGAGGTCGGGTATAGAAATACCGGCTTCATAGTTGTTACCGATTTACCCAAGTTAGCCATGGATTTAACATTCAAAAAGTTTTTTCACACTAATTTTTATGAATCCCCGCTCTGATACACTTGAAAGTTTGTTAGGGATGTTAAACCCTATAGAACTGGCTCAAGCTAACTAAGAGGGGGGGGGGGTGAATTGGCATTTTAAAATTCTTTTTGCACAAAAGAAGTAAAAATCACATAAACCAAAATCAACCACAAAAAATATTGCGGAAATAAAGTGCGGGAAGAAAGAAAACAAGAACACATAAATTTTTATAGTGGTTCGGTCAACTTGACCCTAACGTGCCACATCCCCGGAGGACCCTCCGAGTATTGCACTACAATCGTGACTCTCATTTAGCCCCCACAGCTGGCGAGAAGCCTTTACAAAAACCATTTTTGCCACCCCTGCAAGGCAGAGAACTCTATCTCCTTTTTGCTTTGCGCTCCTAAGGCTGGCAAAGAACCACAATCAGATGCTAAATCCTTACCTCTATCGCGACCTTCCACAAACGAGAAAACTCTAGACGAAGAAGAAGTAGAGCGATCCTTGAAAGTAACACTTGTGAATCCCCTCACAAGCTCCCTCCACAAGATCCTCTCTCTCTCTCTCTCTCTCTCTCTCTCTCTCTCTCTCTTTCCTCTACTCAAGGTCTGTCAAGGTCAAGGCAGAAGCAAAATATTTTCAAAAACATTGAACAAGATCTTCTTAGATAGAAGAGCTTCAAGGACTCAATTAATTGCAAGTTGCCGACAAATATCGTCCAGGCGATATGGACATCGTCCTGACCCGATTCAGTACAAATCTCAGAAAGAATCGGCCAGAGCATCCCCCTGAATGCAAACTGGACGATTGAAAAATTGGCATGATCTCTAGGGACAATCTCACGATCGTCCAGGCCGATCAGTTCAAAAAATGAGAAGAAAATTGTCCAGAGCATCGCCCTGAATTCAAGCTGGCCGATAATTTATCGTCTAGAAGAACATAAGGTTTTTGAATCGATCAGTCCTGGCCAATCCTGCGATCATCCAGGACAATGTGATCGTATCAATCATCCTTAATTATTTCTTGATTTGTTTGATCAATTAAGGCATAATTGTGAATATCATCCAGGTCGACGTCAAAGATCGTCCTGCCCTATTGCCAAAAATATAGAATACCTTAATTGTTTATGGTGATAATTTTCTTTCTGTTTTGAGCTTATCGTTCATGGCCAATAACGTATCATCCAGGATGATTGGCTAATGACGGCTGCCTTAATTAAGAATCCCTGATAGATTTTCTATTTTAAGCCAGATCATCAGGACTACGTAAAATATCTCCTGGCCGATTTTGAGTAAAAAAATTGTAAGTTCACTCATGTGTGTGTGTGTAGGGTTACTTAGCATCAAGTCGTCTTTGAACATTGACAAATAGACTCAAGAAGAGAAAAAGCAAAGTATCAGACTGACTCAACCCTAACCTATGCAAACTTGAACTGGCTTTTTTTTGTTTGTCCGAGTCTTTGATTCCTGAAAAGCTTAGAAGTAACAGACAGTCCAAGAGATCAATAGTTTTTTGTTAATCATACAAATACCTAAGTCATGAAATAGATTTGCAACATTCTGCTTCTTTGGAAGGATTGTAACTGGCTTTTTGA